ATCTAGTGTACATCACACTGGAAACTAAACAGTTTCACAATATATTTCTCTCACATATCACCATAATAGGATATGTAATGATTTTAGTCTTACAATGTATATAGTTAGAAAATATGAAATTTCTAAAATAGAGATTTGTATATTTAGTGGAAATGGTAAACGTTTTAGCTGCGATAGTGTTAAATAAAGTGTATAATTTCAACTGTGACTTACATATCCATGGACACAAAAAGTGAACAAATAAACAGGAAAATATTGTAACAGAAAGTAGGGTTCAACATTCTATATTGAAGAGCTTACACCATATTAAACTTTAAACTCACTCAACCGTAGTTTTCCGTTCTTACCTCTTGTTCCCAAGATCCAAACGTAATTTCGCAAGTCTGTTGATCAAATGGGAAGAATCGTAAGTTAGGAAGACAGACAGTGTGCAAAATAGCAAGAGGTGAATAAAACGAATGGCCATCGGAGAATGATATTATATAGGGTTTCTTGCCATACTCCTCCATTCTCGCCCTGGTATGGTTTAATTATAAGAAACCTTATGTATTAAAGCACATATTAAACAATTATTAAATCACTCTTCATATTAAAATCCGGATTAAAAAACTTTCAAAAATCCATAATAATCTTTCTAGTATTTCTCAGCCATTTCTTCTTCCAAATATTATTATACACATTTAATTCTAAATCATAGCACTAAGCATGAAAATAGATATGTGTTACTCTCTCTACATGTTTATGTATCCCTCTTTATTGTATGAAGCAAACTAGCTATCACTTCTATGATACTTTTTTTAAAACCAAGTTTCGTCTAAAAATGCTCATATTATTACACGTGTCAAAACACTTATATTAAACAGAAAAAACTAAAGTAGAAAAAAAACTAAAACGTTAATTCCAAATAATAACAACGAATAAAAACAATGATAAAACATGAACATTATTATATAGAATTTGTAACAAATACTTCTTCTTGAAATAACTATTAAGTTCAACATCAGATTCTTTATCCTAAATGTTTTATTATGGACTGTCAAAACTGGAACATCGAAACTGTTATAAAATATAAATTGAATGTTTCTGTGAAAGTAAATATCAACTGAAGCAAATTTAGGTAGTTAAGTTAGTCAGTATATAATGTTTTGCTAAACAGTGGTTTATTAGACTCTAAAAATGTTCAAACGAAACATTACGAAAATTAAGTTAATGTATATTCATGCTGGATATAATAATGCCTTCTGATTTCGAAACTGGATAAATTAACTTAAACAGAATTCACAATAATTGTGCATTTTATAGATATAAGGATCTATTTCAGGTTCACATAGTTTACCGATTAAAACAGCACAATAATTGTGCATTTTATAGACATGAGGATCTACTTCAGGTTCACACAGTTTACCGATTAAAAACAGCACAATAATTGTGCATTTTATAGACATAAGGATCTACTTCAGGTTCACACAGTTTACCGATTAAAAACAGCACAATAATTGTGCATTTTATAGACACGAGAATCTACTTCAGGTTCACACAGTTTACCGATTAAAAACAGCACAATAATTGTGCATTTTATAGACACGAGAATCTACTTCAGGTTCACACAGTTTACCGATTAAAAAAAGCACAATAATTGTGAATTTTATAGCCACAAGAATATACTTCAGGTTCACACAGTTTACCGATTAAAAACAGCACAATAATTGTGCATTTTATAGACATAAGGATCTACTTCAGGTTCACACAGTTTACCGATTAAAAACGGATATTTTTGGCCTCCATAATTTCTCTTCTGGCATGCGAAGATGCCAAAAGTTTACATCCCAGATGTTCCATTGTAATCTTTCATCATACCAGTCCTAAGAAGGAAACAAAAAACATTTCTGGTTACTTATGTAATGATATTTGTTAATGTAATACGAATATAACCCTGGTTCAACTAATTAATATTTAATTAACTTGTTAAATGTTATTCTAATATTAAACACTCTATCGTGTCGAATTTCACGATTTGTTTAGTTTGAAAAGTTGCTGAATTACATTGCTGGCTTATCCAACACAACTCACGTTAACTGTATGTTAGAGCGTTTCGTGCTATATGTGTAGATATGTATCTTTCAAAAGTGTATTGAATGAGAGAGTAAAAATGTTCCTTTTATTAATAATTATATATAATAAAATGTTTAAGCAGTATTTATATAATTGATTTTTGAAAAGAGATTTGTATACACAAAACACTTTGTTCTTCCAACAATGAACAGTTTTTTCCCTTCAGAAATATAGTGATATACATATTTCTGTGTATCATTGAACTCTCACAAAACTGCTCGAAATTTAACAGGGATCAAAACACTAGGCTTAACTGAGAGGAGCGTTTAATCTTTCAAGTTTACATATTACAGATCTTTCACAAATTTGCTCGAAGTTTAACAGGGATCAAAACACTAGGCTTAACTGAGAGGAGCGTTTAATCTTTTAAGTTCACATATTACAGATCTTTCACAAATTTGCTCGAAGTTTAACAGGAATCAAAATACTAGGCTTAACTGAGAGGAGCGTTTAATGTTTTTATGTGTCGAGTCCGCAGGTGTCTCTTTAAACTTAGAACTAAGATAAGTAACAAACAAAGTAAAGACACTTACACCAGATGGTATACATACGGTACTAAGCGTTCCTGTGTCCTCCGCCTGAAAAACAGCGATGATTCATTAGTCATCATTTTGAATATAAATATATATATATATATTTGAAACATAATTCTAAGCCTCAGTCGCAACATTCCAAATCTATATAAATACTACGCTTGCGTTTGCCTGTCCGGAACTTTCTCGTAAATTTCTCGATCTAACGCAACATATCTTATATCGTTAGAAAAGCCTTATCCGAGGAATCCGCATTGCATATTGGCTTTTCATTTCAAAATATATGTTTTTTTTGCGTAGTCAAACATTTCAGTGCAACGAGTGTGGTACACGATAGCACAATGTCGTTATTATGACGTGACGACTAGCTTCGATCTCAATTTTCCTTTTTTTTTCTTTGCAAAGAACACAGCGTGGTCACAAGTAAATAGACACCACCTTTTCAGAAAAAAAATGAATATTTTCAGTTATATTCACGGACGCTGCTCACTTGTTTCCTTGCCGTGTTTCCTGAACTGCACGATGATTCTGTTGACTGTCGAAAGCGGGATTCCCAAATTCTGCGAAATTTGGCGCTGACTTATTCCACAATCTGCTTGACCAACTATCCTTCCTCTAACA